TGCAGCCGCGGAAATTGCCGCCACACCCGAGATTTGAACCCGCGTCAATCCGCTCAGGGGCGAACGCCCTAACCCCTGAGCTATCGGGCTCGATGTTTCATGTTATGATCGGTATACACATATGTACTAGTTGACTTCTTAGTTTATCATGTACCTGGTCATGTTATTTTGGTCTAATGAGCGAATGTACTCATGAGAAAGCCTTTTAGTTCTGCTTGTTGACGGTAATAGACATTAATTTTGGCTAAATTGGGGGTAGTCTGGTATCTGCTATTAAGTATGACAGAATCAAACATTTCATTTCAATGCATTATACTATGAGAGAACCCAAAAATAAGTAATAAAAACTTTAAAATACAACCCTTCTAGAACCGAGAAATATAGTCCGAAGTTGCTCAAATACAAGTGAAGCCAAGTTTAAATAATCGCATTTATTCTCAGAAACAAACAAAAATTCCAGTTTCAAAAACTATTTTTTCATACTGTGTAAAGTTCCTTTGCCACAAAATGCACTAATAAAACCTTTTTGACCGCAGTTGTTTTACCGAATCAACTATTTGAGTCGTAACCAAAACGGCCTATATATAATCGCGAAGGTGAAGATAAAAATAAATCTTATTAAATCTAGATCACGTAAAAATATATTTTTACATTACAATTTCTGCTTATGCGCAATTTAGAAACGGAACAGACAGAAGAAAAAGAATTACATCAAAAGCTTAGTACATATTCGGTCACTCCTTTTGCATTCGCAAGCTTAAAACGGAGTCTGCGAGTAATCAACCATGGTGAAAAATACTCCAATATAAAGGGAAAAATGGATTCCTTCATTTCCAGCCAAACTGTATCGTTTATGTTCCAGTATATTGGAAAACTTGTCAAAATTCTCCACTTTATTTTGACATTACCTTAGAAAATACAACATGCACAGATATTCCTCAGCTGAATATCTAAGTAAAGTGCTTTTTAAAGACGGAACCTATTATATAAAGTTTTTTTCACTGATCTAAGAAATAACAATATCAGACTTCTGTTGCGGGCGTTCCTTTTGCTCGACACTGTGTTTTGGTGATTGGAGGAATTTCTAAATATGGCGCAAATGGCCATCCCCATAAGAACTAATACATTCTACTTACGAAAATATTCAAATGTATTGCTCTAATTTATAGCTATTTTTACGTCTGAAGAATAGGAGTGTTATAAAGAAGATTTTATTTTTCTCAACAAGCAATCAGTACCCTTTATATTCCTTTAAGTAAAAAAATTGTTTATAATTATTTCGAAGTGTTCGAACATGCGTTAAGGCCGGTTGGCGATTGATTCTGAACTCTTCGCAAACTTTTGCACGAGTTCCCCGCTGTACTATACGTACATTGAAGGCAAATGCAACGGGTGAGGCAACCGCAAATAGCAAGACACAACCACAACAACATAGTACGGTGCGGTAAAAGCTAAAATAATAGCGATAACTTCAGACATGTCTACAGCGCAGGTTTAATCGCAGATATTGGGTGAGCGTATGGCTGACCCAAGAAAGCACTTTATGCACCGGGAACAGCTATCGCTGCCGATTCCCTTGTCCTTGGCTGTATGAATCTTATAGTAGATGATACGGGAATGTGAGCTTAAAATGCGTGAGTGTAAACACAATCTGCACTGTTATGAACTTCCATAAAAGCTTCTAAATTGTTACTTTTTCGCCTGCCACTGTGCACAAACAGAAACTGGGCTGACTGTGAGGTCCGAGTTATATCTTCAGTTGGCAGCCATGTAATGCCCGGCTTTTAGCGCATCCTTACCTAGCCAAGCGCGTTAGACTCTTATTCTCAGGCCCCAGCTCACTGTCCCAGCCGGTTAGTTGTCTGATGCGGGGATTGGGCGCAGTGACTGATACAGCTAGAGAGCTCGTCTCCGTGTGTCATACACACGACCAGCTCTTTCCCCACAGATAACACTAGGACTTCCCACAAACGGTTGGCGACTCGAACTTTACGTGTGAGTTTCATTCCCAAATCACGAATCTCGTCGGTTCGAAGTAAATGCAGTTAACAAATCTAACTACCGGGCGATGAACTTCTTCACATAAGCACGCTTTCGAAATTGCCTGTGAGAAAAAAGAGTCTTATAACCCGCAACGCGATATTGTGTGGGAGGGCAGAGACACGAGTAGTTGTCAGACGTGACTCAAAGGGCAAGCACGAAGTCGTTTGTGTATTCATCTCTTTATTGAGAGGATAGTTACATTCAAAAGGCTCCAGCATTCAGTGCAGACAAAACCGGATAGTATATCGCATTGTAAATACTACACTAAAAGTCGTTTAAGTGGCAAGAATGCGATAAACTAACCCCGGAAATAAAAATTTTGCGGCCAGAAAATGCACAGGAAGTTGTGTTACCATATTTCTCTGCACTGCGTAAAGCGTGGCAAAATATCTTAACCAACGTGGGAGCCACAAGATGGGGAAAAAGTAAGTAGCCAATCGAAATTCACAAACTAGGTTAGAAATGACGATGACATGAACAGCAATCAGGGCAGTGAGACTCACAAGAGGCTGCTGACTAAGGGACTGAGGCGTTGACTCAGCGAGTGCAAGTCAGCAATCGTGGACGACGATAATACTCCGCGCATAATTTCTATGGCAACGGCGTAGGCACGTAACCACTGCGAGAGAGCATACATAAGGGCCGTATGCACGTAGCCTAATGACGGCGCTGGCGACATATTCCGCCGAACGAGATCGTCTAAACGACGATAGGCAGTTGCTGCAATAAGATGTGATGACAGGCAAGAGCGTAGGCAACCAATGGAGATGTCGAAAGCCAGCGAATCGAGATTGGCCGTCTTCTGCTGCTGCCAAAAGAAGGAAGCCACGGGATCCGGATCCCACTGGAAACGTTGTGATTCTTGGCCCAAAAGAGCGTTGAAGAGATCTCTGAAGAAGACCCGTCGGATGGTAATGAGTCGTTCGGAAATTGCTAGTTGGTCCAAGGCCTGGCTGGCTTCTTGTATTCCGGGAGGTTCGAGGACTGCGGGGTAACACGAACGAAAGGCACAGAGGAGCTTATGCGTCGCCATTGCACCAGACTCGGAAAGAAAGGGCTTCTCGAATGTGACATCGTGACTGGAAGAAAAACAGAGAAAAAATCCATTCAATAGGTAATTCCTCATAACGAACAGAGGGAAAATTGTACAAACCCAAACCGATGGACGAAATTCAGATGTCAAAAACATGGAGTTGCAATCGACTATCGGAATACGGTTTCCCATTTGCTGGGACACGCTTTTTAGAATTGAGATAAGCATCTTAAAATGTAATCACTGTGAAGTCTCTAAAATTGACCAATTATCAACCATGTTAGAAGAAATTTGGCAGTACAAGGCACGCGGTTGACTCATACTTAGGACGTACTGACAACGGGATAATATCCTAAAAATATATATTAAAAAATGTTGATACATAGGAAAACCACAGAAGTACTTTAGTAGATGAGTGATCATGTTCGCAGTCTAAAGCAGACTTAAGCAGAACAATGGCAAACTACTGTTCGCTACTGAAGAGGCCCAAACCATCAATGGTATTTACAATGCTTCAACTTCCGCGCCTGAAGGGTCGTAAGAGCGGAAACCTCAACCCGAAATTCTCTGATTAGAATAAGGCTTTGTTATGTGCTTCGGTGTAAACTACAGTGCGAAAGTTTTTTGCTTCTTAGTTGACTTTCTACCAGAGGGGCGCTTGGATCATGCTTCACTGGAGAAAACAATAGGATAAGTCGGCCATAGAAACTACTTGTAGCAGAGGATACGCAGACAAATATTTTCATGTGGTAATTGGAAATAATACCTTTAACAATATGGAATGAAGTGAATTAACAATTGCAGTTTACTTAAGAGTGCAGGGTAGAAAATGAATTCCAGTCACAAACTGGAGATTTTACGCCGGAACTGAGTAAAGTAGAGGGCGGCTGCACGATTATTACACCTTTTAGTAAAATGCGCGAGGCAGGCCTGTCTGGGTGAGGACTTACGCACAAATTTGATCAGGTAATTTAGCAGAAAAACAATGGATTGAGGGACTGAACTAGAGCACGGCATCAAATCCAACTTTAGAAGGTGATAATCCCACTTTTCGTAAAAACAAAGTTTAATAGAGTCGCATCTAGAGTTGAGTCTATTGGAACTGGTCCCGTGCCAGAAATGGCACGTCTAACCGTGGCTGATGACTACATTCTCCATCAAATACGAATCTGAATCTGTCTACCGAAAGTGCCAAAAGCAGACGTAGGAGCTAGAAGGCTTCGGGAAAAGTTTCCTCGCTCGGTCAATTTCTGTGTTGTTAGCTCAACTGATAGCAGTTAAGTTCAAGGTAAGGCGCCTGAAAGGTATACATTCAGCAGCACATTCTATTTCCTTACGTTATCAAAAGGATTGATGAAAAACAGGTTGTAAGCAGTTCTCACGTCGAAAAACTCGCATCTGCGTGCTGGCTGACAGAACGCGACTAAACTGCTGACATGGATTTAACAGAGCCCAATTACAAA